CTTTTCCTGGCCTTAAGTTCACCCTCTCCGCTGACCTCTGCTTTCCCGCTCTGTGTTCATCCTTCTCTCTGTTTTATTTTTATTTTAAAATATTTTTAGCCGGGCTTTCTCCTTAAAAAAAAGGCCCAAAGGCTGCCTGACATGATCGCATCCCTCGGCTCCTGGCCTCTCTTTCTCGGCCCGGGTGCATCAGCCTCTTAAAAAAATCTTCTACTACGCCTTCCTTCCTTCCTTCCCGAGGTCTCTGCAAATCCACAGAGCTGACCCCCCACATTTTGCGGCCTGAGGCCAAGGACAAGAGGGCGCCCCACAAGCAGGCCCTTGGAGGGCCAGTAAGGCCTCACGCCGTCCTCAAATTCAGGTGCAGGGACCCCAAAGCTCCCCCAAAGTCATTCGGTCACAGATCGAGGGCAGGGGGAGCCCCGAAGCCACTCACCGGGGCTCTTGCATAAAAACTCCGCCATGACGGGCTGTTTCGCACTGGGTGCACAAAACGGGCAGCTTCTTCGCATGCCTTTGCGGCTCCTTCCACCTGGCCCCCTCACTTCGCTCTGTATTATTTTGCTTTTGTATTATTTTTTCGGCCCTGTCTGCCCCCCCCATGCACACTTGATGCTCCCCAGCTTTCCCCTCCCTTCCTTCCCCTCCATTCCACTCTTTCTTCACTAACTTCCTCTCAAGAAAGGGGAAAGCGTGGCCTCCAAAACGATTGTATGTTGAAAACAGAGAAGAAGCAAAAGCAAATGAATACTGTATATGAATGAGACACCCACATATACATATGCATGCATGTTTGTGTACATATTTTTATTTATTTATTTATTTATTTATTTATTTATTTATTTATTTATTTACCGTATTTTTCGCTCCATAAGACGCACCTTTCCATAAGACGCACCAATTTTTTAGGAGAAGAAAACAGGAAAATATAATCTGTTTTCTTAGCTCCATAAGACGCACAGACTTTCCACACCCCTGTTTTGTGGGAAAAAAGTGAGTCTTATGGTGCAAAAAATACAGTATTTATTTATATGCCGCCCACACTCCCCAAAGGTCTCTGGGTGTGTGTGTGTGTGTATGTATGTATGTATATATGTGTGTGTGTACATATATATAAAATGTCTACACAGTATATATAAAATGTGTGTATCATTCATATGTACGGTATGTGTTTGTATCATTCAAAGCAGTCATTCTGTCACAAAAGGATACATGTATGTACAGTATGTATGTATACTTGTATTTCTTTCCTTCTATCTATCTAGAAGGTGGTGCCCTTCCCTCA